TGTTCACCACATGTTAAATTTTTGCGCTTATTAGTTCATCGTATAAATTTTAGACAATAGACAATAGTTATTTATATTTTTATCCATGTAGGTTAGAAATTTATTTTTATTTTGTTAAAAAAAGCTTTGGTAATTTTGATTTTAAATAACGTTTTATTTGCTATTAGCTTTTTAATATAATATATAAATACCATATTATATATATATACAATAATACTTTTTATTATTTGATATTTAATGTGCAAGAAATGTAACTCAATTGATAAGTTAATAGGTAGTCTTGCATAAAGCAATGAGCGATTTCTAAAAAAATATATGGATTAGAAAGTTCATGTGTTTAATATATTTCTAAGAAAAAATTATAAATACATCTAATTAATAACAAAAACTCCTATATAAAAAATATAATTTATAAAGGAATAAAAAAATGGTACATTGCAATGAAAAATTCAACGGTAAGACATCCATTGAAAATCTCAAATGATATTTTATTCGTATAGCTGTCATTGTAAAATTTCATTGACTACGCCAACAGAGATCAAATTACATTATATTGAAATTTCAGTGGATTTAATTAATCCAATTATCATTGTTTAGTATTGTGTGAATTTTCGTTTGAATTTTTTTCGGGTCATATTTCAACAGTTGGAAAAAAGTCACTGGAATTGTAAGAATTTCAATGAAAGTTCTATTCAAAATCTACCTGCAGTGGTGGATACAAAATAATTTCATACTTGAGGCATTATTTAGTTAATAGAAAAGGTATAACATTAAAATAACATAATGTCATTATCATTTATAAATTATATTTTTCATAATTTGTCATATTTCTCATTTATAATACATGTTACACATCAATACAGTTATAATTAAAAAAAAAAAATAACTTTTCTCAATTCAACATAAGCAAATAATTGAAAATAATTATGTTTTTTAAAATTTTATGAACAAAAGTTGACTCGACAATATTATTGATGAATTTATGAATTATAAATATTTAATTGTAGTATAAATTAAAAAAAATTGTAATTACAAATATAATAAAATATAAGATATACAAATAATTCATATATAATGAGACAGATAATCGAAAAAATTCTAGACTTTATATTATGCATTTTTTGACAAATCTACAGTTAAGAACATGTAAAACAACAAGATAAAGGTTTAAAAAAATATTAAATATGATAAATAATATTAAAAATAAATAAGTTGTGACACATACAAATAAATATGGAACAAAGTAATAAATAAAAATGTTATAATTAATAGAAGAAATATAAACCTTTTATAAATATACTTATCGACGTAAATGAGCTGAGTTGTTAAACGCTTGTTAGTTTTTTGTCCTTATAATTTTATGTGTAAATTTGATGTGATAGACAATAGTTATTTGTACATTTATCCATGTAAGTTACCAAAAAAAAATCAAATAAACTTTGTTATTCTAATTTTAAATAACTTTTGTTTGCTATATTAGTTTTTTTAATATAATATATAAATACCATATTGAACCTATAAAGTAAGAAATATTCTAATTTTTAAATATTTAATATGTAAGAAATGTAACTCAATTGGTAAATTAATAGGTAATCTTGAGATAAAATAATGAGTGATTTTTTTTAAAAAAAATATAGGAACTAGAAAGTTCATGTGTTGAATATATTTTTAATAAAAAAATTGTAAAAAAAATTAATCAATAAATACTACATAAAAAATTAATGTTTAAGAGGACTCCAACAAATTGCTATATTGCAATGAAAAATTCAACGGTAAGGTATTTTATAGAAAATTTCAACGAATATTTCATAAATGTTGCTTTCATTGGAAAATTTCATTGGCTATTCCAACAGAGTTCAAATTAAATTACATGAACTTTAGTGGATTTAAGGATTTCAATTACTTGAATTTCCATTGGAATTTTTTTTGGACCATATTTCAATCGTTGGAAAAACTGTCATTAGAATTGTGCAAAAATTCAATGGAAATTCCATTGGAAAGTTAATTGCGGTGATAGATCCTAAATAGTTTCATACTGGGGGCATTATTTAGTTAATAGAAAAAAATATACCATCAAAATAACATGACATTGTAATTTGTAAATTATATTTTACATAATCTATCACATTTCTCATTTGTTATTCATTTTAATAAATCAATAAGTCACAATCAGATAAAATATATTTAAGAAACCAAAAGACATGATTTTTCTCAATTCAACTTAAGAAGATCGTTATATTCTTGTTATAATTTTCGTTGGAATTTTCTCATTCTCTTTTAGTAAAAGCAGGACTCCAAATCTATAAAAAAAAAGTTTGCATTATATATAATATTGTCTGCAGGTATTATTATGAAAATTCTGATATGATAGAAAATATAACACATTCAATGTAATTGTCGTCTAATTTATGATAATAAGTAATTTTTGTTTCAAAACAAACAAGATACTTTGAAAGGTCCTTAATTATTTTATTAGTATTATAATAACTAAGGGGTAAGAATGATGAGAAAAAACTTATAACTCTCATTAAATTCAAGAGTAAAAATACTAATAAAATTATTTAGTATACAATATCAATTGGAGCTGGCTAATGAGAAATATAAAACATACTTAAGATACAAATATATTTTAACTAGAACTTTTAGGTACATAATATATATATATATTTTAAAATTGGGTATGTTAATTTTAAAATTTTTTAGTTAAAAATTTAATTACTTTCTATCATTAATTTTTTTAATTTTGAAATACTTCATAATTTTTTATTTGTTACTCTTTTTATACGTAATATACATTTCTTTTCAATAGTGTTTTAGTTGACCAATATATTGCAAATAAAATTAAAATAATATAATTATATATATATCAGTACTAATTTAAAAATAATAAATTGACCTAAAATTATAGTATATATTAGTTTTTTTATTCAAGTTAAATCAATTTTATTAAGTATAAAATAACATAAGATAAACTTGTGGTATTTTTTTCTTACATAGATTTGAAACAATTCATATTAAAAAAATAAATAAGAAAATGGAGGTAAACTTACAACTATTCCCACGTTTTGGCTAGAGCGCCCATTCCCGATATATATTTGACACTGGTTTGCCGTAATGATGAAACTGTGGCGAATGCACCTTAGATACAAATGAAGCGAAGCGAAGTGAAGTCATAGATAAAAGAAGGAAAAGACTAGGCCATAGAAGGGAAATGAGATAACATTAGCTATGTGAATTAAAAAGACAAATTAATGAGTTGTACGTTAAACTATTATTCAATTACTGCTTGAAAAAGAACCCTATAATGGTGGTACCATATTTGTATTTAGTGATTATGAAAATGAATTAGTTACCTAATATTTTATCAAACATTGAAAAAATTGTAAACTTTTTAATCTAATAATTCGTAGAAAAAGTACATTTTTATCAAATATATTAAATTTACATTGTATCTTATGTGATTATAGTAGTTGTAGCCTAATAAAAAAGATAATTTGAAAACATCATTATGTAAAACACATACAAAAAATAACGCAATACATACAAATAGCTTTAATTATTTAGCAAATAAAATATTATTTGTCAATAGAATAAGAAACAAATAATATAATAGTAACACAATGAGAAAAAGAATACGTGTAAATTTTCTTAGAGAAGTCAGTATACCAATATTTGCAAAAAAAAAGTCTTTGAAAATTACTACTTTTTTGTTGCTAGAGTTTAAATATATGGACTCTGTAAGACATTGGTTTTCATAAATAATGATTCTATATTATTTATTTTTAATTTTAAAAAATAAAAAAATTAAAAAATTTGTAATACATAATGTATATTTTAATCATGACTCCATAACAATAAATTTTACAGATGACTAAGAGTATCGTAATATAATAGAATTCTAATTCTTCTCCTATCAAATATTTTAACAAATGATATGCTTCTCAATATTTTCTCATTGTTTTGATTGTTTTGTTTTGTCATTGTTGGATAATAAAGAAATGATCTTTATCTTGAATTTTATAATCATTTTGTATGATGAATAATGTTGGACAATAAAAGCATTAAAGAAGTTATTAGGCACACAAATATTCCATATTCAAACGAATGTGAAAGATATTATGATAAACAATTCTAAAATCATTGCAACAACCATGATGGTCAATAATTTTCAAATAATAGATTATATTGTTCGTCTATATTCCAAATAAATAACAATGTCGGACTATCAAAACAGTTTTGAATGTTCGAATGAAGTTGTCACTTTTTATAGAAATATTTATAATCTCATTGGTGTATTGTACTCAAACATATGTGCAATTACTTTAGAGGTACTTTCAGGTAACGTATGATGATTTCAAAAAATAATTTAGCACCTCGGGAGAAGTACACGTAACCAAAATTTTGGAAAGTCAACTTTTATTTGGAGATAAAATTCATTCCCACCTCGTGGGGCGATGCATCAATGGGGTAGGCACCAATATGTCTAGAGACAGAGGAATGTAGTAGTTTATATAATGATAAAAATACCAGCAATTTTAATGACACGATTAGTTATTTCATAGAGATATTTATGCATTGTTAGTAGAAGTACTTTATTATAAAGATTATACGATCATGAAGTTTGACTATATGTTGGGCCAGAATGTTTCTTAAGTGTTTGAATAAAATTAGCGTTTTGCCAAATGAATTAAGTGGAATTTTGCAATAGTATTGATGTATTGGACTCCATCGAGTATGAATGTTTCTTATGAGAAAGATGAAACAAAATCTTAGTATTTTTTGTATTAAGAATTTGTTTTTCATATATTTTAGTTTGGGGTTGTAAAACGTTATTTCACTCTTTTTATATTATGACATTATTACGTTAATTCTAAATAAAAAAAAAATCACATATGAATTCATTTGTTCTATATTTTATTTCATTCCTGTAATGATATGTTTAATAAATAAATTAATTTATTTTACAAACTTACTCAACGAAAATCATTCGATACCACGTGCATCGCACGTGCACTTTACTAGTACAATAAAACAAGAAACAAAAGTTAACATCACATGATCATATAGGTTGGACACTCTGAATATATTTTTTGGATCATTAAGCAGCTCTCCACGAGCTTCCTTTATTAATATCATACAGCTGGAAACTGAAGATTCAAACGATTTTATTAATATCATACAGCTGGAAATTGAAGATTCAAACGATTTTACTAAATATCATACAACTGGAAACTGAAGATTCAAACGATTTGGTCTGTTGATCGGCTCTTATGGAGTAGAACGAGTCATTCTCCTATTTCCTCACGACAAGAACAGGGCATTTGGCATTGTGGACACAATAATTGCTAACACTTCCAAGAAACGCCCTATTGAAGTAACTCAAAAAAAAGAAACATATATCAATCGAGCGTGAGAAAAAAAGCCTATAAATGTATTTAAGTAATAGTAATAACAAATAACCACCTCTGTAAAGCTTTGCGGCCATGACTGCCAAGGACAAGTAATTGTATGTTATGCTTTTTCACAGCTTCACATATTACCTCCTTTGGTTCTCCAACTTGCGTAAATGTGTCGGCAGCTATCTATAGCCATACCAAATAATTAACCGTGCATCCCTAATTAGAAGTTGTTTTCTTTTGGCAAAAAGATTTCCACAAGGTGAATGATAATTGTGGTCTTCTATAATAAGGCAAAGGATAATTGCACAAAACCCCCTTCTGATTTGAAAATGATCGATGCGCGATATTCAAATTCGTGCAATTTTTAAATCACAAGGGGCTGAGTTGTAAGGCAACTCCGACTACAAAAATATAGAACATAAGCCCTTACAATTGTTCAATCACTAGCTAAGGATAAAGATACTCATAGATGCAAACTGAGCATGAGGGGATATATTGTTAATAAAACAAAGATGAGATTTTCAAATACCCCAACTTGACTGCAGATTTCCTTTGCTTTAGCCAACAGAGCCTCAGCAACCCTTTTGTGAATTTCTTGTACGGATGTAACCAACTCAGCAGCTGCAATCAGTAAGTAGCATCAGCTAAATACAAACGGACAATTTTTCCCTAAATAAATTAGAAGAAAAAAAGAAGAAGCAATTTTGAACCATAATTTCCCTGAAGTATTTCCAGAATAGTTTGGTATCTAAAAAACATTTCGATGATAGATTAAATTCGGCAAAACATTAATCCACTTAGGACTCAGATTGCACCGATTTGGACTCAATAACCAAAGTTCCGCCAAAAACTGAGACTTATGGAACCAAAGATTTTGCATATATTCAGAAACTTATCGCAAACAGTACAAATATTTTCCTAATACTGAAAGTAAAAGGAAACACACACACAGACTGAAGAGGGGATTATAGAGTACATACGAGCAGCTCCGTATGAGGAAGCATAAAGATAGCCATAATCGGCGAGGGGTTGAGCAGTGAAGATAAGAAGCTTCGAATTTTGGAGGGACTCTCGAAGGTTGTTAAGGGCCCACTCGAGAGCGTAGTGACTGCACTCACTCTCATCAATCGCCACCATCACTTTCTTTTTCTCGCCACTTTTATCCATTTTTCTTTACCTTTTATTTTTTTTTTTCTTTTTGCTCTTAAGATTTTCAGTTCTAAACAGTACTTATTATACTTGCGATTTTATGATATGGTGCTATATTTTAGGATTTCTGTGTGCGGGGAGCAGGGGACAGTAATAGTGGTTTTGTTGCGGTTTTGTTATGGCAAGTGATGAGAAAGAGCGAAGGGATTCCGAATATGGGTCCCACAACCGCTCTAGCTAAATCCATATATATCTTTATAGACTATTTTAGGGTGAGTTTGGGATCTTATGGATTGAGCTTTGATTACTTTTCATTGGATTTTTTCAATTTATACATCTATCATTCAATTTATACATCTATATATGATATGTAATAATCGTACTAGGTCGACTAGATTTGGGAAGCAACAAAATAGAATCGGGTGAACCATTGAGTCGAATGGAGGTTGACGACTTCACAAGTGGAAGTGGACTACAAGAATACAGAGAACACCGACAGATCGAATTAGGGCCCTCCGACCTGATTGAAATTCAACCTCAAGGTACCGTCACTCCGTAGTCGTTGTTCCCGTCCGCTTTCCTGGCAGTTAGTCGAAAAAATCGAGCAAACGAGCAGAGCATTAGAGCTTGATATCGGTGGTACTCTACCTCCAGATAATCAGGACCGGTCATACAATTAGACCGTCTAATAAGGAAGACTAAATGATAACAAGAAATATTATTTGAGTTAAAACCCAACGTGAGCTAACAGAATTGGACAGTTCGAGTAGCTCGGAAAGTGCGAACGGGCAATTTTGGCAACCCACTGGGACAGGTTTGGGCAACAAGGTATCATCTCCCTAGATAAGAGAATAAGTATGCCCATCATTACATTATATTCTCCATTATTCCATACACTTATAATGCACATTACATTTTCTACAAGTGCTAACTTAAGTATCAGAGAATCTCCACCGGAAAACCCCTCAAGTGTGAGTGTTTTTGCAGGTTTAAAGGCGTTATCTCATACCAGACCGATTTTCAGCTGGTCGGAGGACTTTTGTGTACCAATATATATATAATTTCTAGCAAATAACTTAATATTTTTTTTCGCACCTTTTTTCAGTTAGATTTTCATTAATCAAACAGTTATATTTTTTATTTATTATATTATATAATTATCAATATCAACTAATAATAAAGTCACATTAAATGTTATTATATATAATGCTTTTTTCAAACTATTTATTTAAAATTAGTATTTTTTCATCACCTCATTTAAAATAACATTAATGTTATTTTATTAAAATTTGTTAATTATTTTTTATGGCATAACCGAACCCTTTAAAATTTTGTACACATTTGCTATAATAATAATTTAAATTTTGTTTTATCCAATTAATTGCCATAATCAACTAAGATTGCATAAATTTAAAGATTAATATGTAAGTTAAATAGTTTATTTTATATCTTTCATAAAATTTATAAATATGATATGCTCATTATCTAACTTATGATTATTAACTTTTACATAAAGACACATATATATAATATATAAAATTTTATTTGCATTTATGCATGTACACATGATCGAATACTAGTTTGATATAAAAAAACTGCAGTAATGTGTTTGTTTCAAAAGTGATAATAATAACTACTTATACAATATTACCTTTTTGCCCTACATTTTCAATTAAATTTGTAATATTACCCCTCATGTGAAAAATGTGTGTCAAAATTACGGATGAAAATTCTTCAAACCTTTATACGTTTTAAGAAATTCAAAAATAAAAATTGTTAAAAGCAACATCCATTATACAAACCAGAGCCGGCCCTATAGATTATTAGGCCCTGGGCCAACTATAAAAGTAATGCCCCAATTACTTTTTTTTTTTAAAGAAATAAAATAATATATTTTAAATAAAAGCAACAACAATCCAACATTTTTTTTTTAATTTTTATAAGAAAATAAAAAATAAAATTACAATTTTTAAAATATTGCAACATCTCGACAAAGCTAAAAATAAGTAAAATATAATAGACGACTCATCACGGATACAAAAGATAATGTTTTGACAAAGCTAATATTCCAACATTCCTTTTATAAAAAAAATAAAATTACAATATATAAAATGTTACAACATCTCGATAAAGCTAAAAACAAGTAAAATCTAATAGAAAGCTTTACAAAATATAATGTCTTGAGGCACTTTCACTTGTTACTAGTGCTTTCACGGAAAAACAATGTCTCGAGAACAATACTGCGGCTACAAAATAATAATAGTAAAGAAATTACTTAAAAAGACTTCTTCGGGCACTTTTAGCTGCAAAATCATCAATTATGTCTCCATAATCAAGATTTTCAATAATATCCTTCTCAATGCATAGAATAGCCAACCCGTTCAATCTATCTTGACACATGGATGTTCTCAAATAAGATTTCAACAACTTCAATTTAGAAAAACTTCTTTCTGCCGATGCTACAGTTATAGGAAAAGTCAATAATAATCGATACGCAATCATTACATGGGGAAACATATCCCTATCTTTTGCAAATTGCATTATTTTAATAGATGTCCATGGCTCATTTTTTTCATACGATTCATTAGGTAACATTAGTTGCAATACTTGTAATTCTGAACATAAGCATTTCCCATCAATGTCCGAAACATCATTAACTTTTAAAGCCACTTCAAGGTTCATACAAGATATTTTCAATTCTTCATCATTCAATGAAACTAAAGTTGCCGCATCAAATAAGAAACCAAACAAAGATTGAAAAAGTTTCATTTGTTCAAACCTGCTTTTAAGTTGAGAAATAGCCATGTCGACTACAACAAGAAAATAATCAGTTCTAAATGATTCTTGAGCGGAGTGCTCTTCTCGTTCAGTGTTTAAAACTTCATTAAAATGCCTTTTTCTACATATACGGCGTTTTTCCGGAAACACAGGTTCAATTCCCATTTCATTAGCAATCTCTTTAGCAGTAATCATAGCAGAATCAAATCCAATATTCCTATATTTCTCAAAGTATGAAATAAGTCCATTCAAACATTTCACGGCAACATCAATACGCATGTCCTCAGATTGTAGTGTTTTACTAGCCATGTTAATTTTATCCAAAACATCATACCAAACAGCCAAGCTCAACAAAAATTCAAAACTAGAAAGTTCACCTGATGCTAAGCTTTCAGCATCCCTACTCAATTTGGGATCTTCACTAATTTCAGCTAATTTAAATAAAGCGTCTCTTATTTGAAATATTTGAGATTTTATGGCTTTGACACTTCCAATATGACTCTCCCAACGCGTAGTAGAAAGTGATTTCAAAGTTAAACCATCAACATATTCAAGCAAAAGATTCCAACGCTTTGTTGAATTTGCAAACACTGTATATATGCATTGACATGCCCCAAAAAATGATTTTGCTTTTAAGCAAGATTTAACCATATCGCGAAGTGTTAAGTTAAGGCAATGTGCACCACAAGGCATGTAAAAGGCTCTAGGATTAATGTCAAGTAATCTTTTTTGAACGCCTTGGTTTTTTCCTTTCATATTAGAACCATTATCATAGCCTTGCCCTCTCACATTATGAATGTTTAGATCAAGTGTCTCGAGCACGTCTTGCAATTCATTAAAAAGCCCCAACCTAGTAGTATCCTCCACATGTATAAACTCTAAAAAAAACTCTTCAACTCGTATAGGATTGATCGACACATCAACACATCTTATAATCAAAGTCATTTTGTGACTTGCATCAGGTGTACAATCAAGTATCACAGAGAAAAACTTGGCTTTTTTAATTTTTTCAACAATCACACTTTTCACTTTAGATGCTAAGGTAGCTATCAACTCATTTTGAATTTTATGACTAAGGTAATGGTTATGAACTTTCTTATCTCTAATAAGTTGAAAATGATCTCGCATTATTGGATCAAACTCCGCAATCATCTCGAGTAGGCCTAAAAAGTTACCATTTGAATCTTCATATGGTTTTTCTTTTGCACCACGAAAGGCCATGTTATTTGTAGCAAGACATTTAACGACAGCAATAATTCTAAGCATAACATCTCTCCAATGTGAAGTCTCTTTTTTTATTTGATCTTGCAATTCTTTATCAATAGTTTGACTCTTTCCCAATCTAGCCTTTAGTTCAACCCACGCTCTCATGTTAGAAAGGTGTTCGATACTATTTTCGTGTTCAATAAGCTTCACACCCATATGTTTCCAATCTTTGCTCCCCTCACTAGCTAATTGACTTCTTGATGGCGTATTTTTAAACAACTTGCAACAAAAACAAAACACTTTATCTAATTCTTTCGAGTATATTAACCATTTTCTATCACAAGTCTCTCCACTTGATATTGTTCGTACATAAAATGCATCAGAAAAATGCCTAGAAATTCCATCAAGGGGGTATTGAAAATTAGATTCTCTTTTAGGTCCTGTTTCCACTAATAAACATCGCATTTTATCATCTAAAGAATCCCAAACTCTAGGATCAAATATATTTACAAACATGTTCTCTTCACCAATAACTTCGAAAGCCCTAGCCTCATTTTTATCATTTTGATTCTCACTTGGATCATTGGTACCTTCATTCACGTCATTAACGGTTATATTTTCTTCATTATTTATAAGATTATCTTGTATCGTGTTAGTTTCAATTGGAATATCATTCTTTTTAAGAATGAATTTATCCATTGAACCTTTTAATGATTGAGTTATCTCCTCATTGGTTTTTTTTTTTTTTTTTTTTTTCCTCTTTTGATATCCAGATAGTTGTTTTCTCGAAATCATTATAAGTTTCAAATAATCAAAACAATAAATATAAATCACAAACAGTTATCACAAAGAATTTTAAGTTTCAAATAATAAATTTAGAAATCCACTATAAGGTTCAAATAATAACAAGTTAACACTTAACAATTATAACAACTTATAATTTAACTTAACCGACACAGTAAATATAAATACCAAAGAACAGCAAAAAAATAAATTTATAAATCCACTAATCCAATTCCAAGCTAATCACTAATCAGTAATCACTACACATGAAGTGGAACTGTGGAAGACTACCAAACAGAGAAAAAATATAAATCAAGTAAAAAAAAAAATAGTTAAATCAAATATTGAATCAAACGAAAAAAGTTAAATTCTCAAAACAAGTAAACACTAAACAGATAAAATCAACACAGATAAACAAGCATTTGATATAATTCCAATTTAGAAATCAAACTAAAATTCGAGAATAAAAAACCAAAAGGATGATTTTTTGTTCACCTTAATCACGCGGAGGAGAATGCAGCCC